ATGAATAATGTTCATGTTATCGATGATAAATGCCAAAGAAATTATATATTCCATGTTCCCTTGTACTTGAAGGAATAGGATGCGCTATCAACAGAGAAAAATCTTTTTTGCAAACAATATTGTTGCGTATTATATGTTTACATTTATGATATAAATATATTATGTAACTAGCAATTGCTCAACAAATAATACCTCCTGTTTACTTTCGTTTATTTCAAAGTTTAAAATAATGCAATACATGTACAATCAAATTCCAACCACTTTAATCAATATACTCTTTATGATCGTGCAATCACACAAAATGGTTGTTTCACGCACCATCGAATTAACTTTAGCCGATTGTAAAACCGATTATACGGTTATATTTTCACTTAAGCGATGATACTTTAAATAGATGAAATTACATTTTATACCGCGTTGTATGATTGCAATACTTCCGGGTGTGTTTATCTTTGTCAATGTAAGCCTGATAGACAGCCTTATACAGTAGGAATGTCAGGTGTCAAACAATTGATTGTGTTGTTTCTTTTTCGGATATGTGTTGCTACAGGTAATTATAACTATTCAGTTAACCTAATTAGATTCGTATCAAAAATATTATGTAAAACAATAATGTAAATAACAGATGTAAACACGTATTGCTTGTATTATAAAGGTAAACCGATTTAGGTTTTTTATAAATTATTAAAACCTTGTAAAGCGTGTTTCAGTCCATTTGTGTATTCGCATTTTCCAGAAGAAAATTAACAATGTGATGGAGTAAATCATTTACCATAGTCTAGTCGGCATGAGAAAATGATGTTAAGAAATATACATGTACCTCGAATAAATTGATGACTAGCTTTTGAAGTTCTTATTTCTGTCTTAGCAATCCTTCATACAATGATGTGTTGAATGAAACTAGTAAAAATATGTAAACTTTGTCATATACGTTTTTCATAAAATAATGCAACTAAGCGTAAAACGTCTTGAAAACCATGCCAGTAGTATCATGTGATGATAGTTTTTGCTAAAAAAAAATTAGCCGATAGATGGTTGAATGGCTGTTGTACTTACTATTAATTCTAGTGTACTATATGGCTAAGAAAATTGTACTGTTACATATAGGTAACAGTACTTGTAGTAGTAATGTGGAGCATTTCTAGAACATGCAGTGGCCGCCATTTGATTTTTGATTCAATCTCTATTTTTTTCCGAACTTAAGGTCATCATCAGAGTGACAATAAGCACCAGAAAATTTAGTTGTTTGTAACCAAAAGTGCTTTCCGGGTCTTGTGTTTGAAAAGTCAAAAAGTAAACATCCGTTAGCAACGAAAGTTATTGCAGATGAATATTTATCAAAATGAAACATGCAGACGGTTTAAGCATGCAATCTTTTTACATTTAGATCTAGTTGAAAATTTTCAGATCATTAAAGTATTTGTCTTGGGTAATAAAAGTAATAACACACATGTTTGTAGGCTCCTTCCGGGTGAAATCTTACCAACAAAGATATGTGCTATTTATATCTATATTGTTTGTCGTTGTTAATATATTTTGCAAGTCTGTCTAGTTATTCATAAGAAGTGATGTAGGTTAAAACCACCGATTGTCCGATTTGAAACATGATATATCCCATAGTAGCTGGTGACTATTTATAGTGTATTCGCGTATAAAAACATTTTTTAACAATGCAGATAACGACTTTAAAAATACTGATACGTTTAAAAGGAAAAATAAATGTTTAAACAGATATTTTTTTTTAACATAAATCGATAAGGTGGGCAACGGACGGCGAAATGGGGGGGGGGGGTTAGTTTAAAGGCCAATTAAACTAAAAAAAATTACAAAAGCTGAATAAATTGTGTTTTTTTTGGTAACTTTTTGCCAAAAGGCTTCTCATTGACCTCAAATCTGAGCCATCTTTACTTTTTTGCGTTTTGGCAATACGTACAGTTAAAGTGATTTTATCTTTTTATGGAAATCAAAATACCACATTGTTTGGATTTCGCTATCTTTACTGCAAACTATTTCATATTTAGTGCACTTATGTGATTTTGGACTGGCGTCAAATAAAAAAAATAGCTTGTTAAAGGTTGTAGAAATACACACACAAGGTTTTTTGTACGAAATCTGCTGTGGTCATATTATTATTTTTACAATAGGTTTGTCTTAAATTTGGTTTCACAAATCATGGTCATGTAACTACATAATTAGATAAAGAAGCAGACGCTTGTTTTGGTTGAGACTATTATGTTTTGTTTAGGGGGTTAATTGTCATACACAAATTTACAATTTGTATGCATTTATTATTTTGCAATGATTTTTACGTGATTATCCAAACACTAACGCGACTTAGCGCGGGAATTGTAAATATAGCTAGTTTAGGATAGGAAATACCTTTTTATATTTATTTGTCATAAATATTTACAAAATTGCATCTTCGAGGCCTTATTTGATCAATTAATAACAAATTATAATGTTTTTGTAAATAAATAGTCATGTCTCAAATCTGTGCATATATTTAATATATTCTGTTCAGTGGAGGATGTGTAATTTTGTGTTTATGTTTGAGAGCTGTAAATTGGTCGTGCATGGTTATTTTTATATTATGATTTCCTTGAAATCGTTTTTATGCCACCGCAGCATCTGCGATGCGGTGGCATATACCGACTAACCTGTACATGTGTTCTATAGATAATATAGTGAATTTAAAAAATCTTCTTGTGAAAAACCACTACATGTTGTCGAATTTCAACCAAACTTGGCAAGATTGATCCTTGGGTGAAGGGCTTCCAAAGTTGTTAAAATAATTTCATAAGTTCATCCCATGCAGAAATCTGGCTGCCATGTCAACCAAAAGGAATTATAAGAATACATTTAAAAAATCTTCTTGTAAAGACCCGAAAGGCCTAGAGCTTAGATATTTTGCATAAGGCATTGTCTGGTAAACCTCTACCAAGATTGTTCAAATTATAGCCCTGGGGTCAAAATCGGCCCCGCCCCGGGGGGCATTGATTTTCACTATATGTACATATAGTAAAAAAATAAAATAACTTCTTGTCTGCAGGTACAAGGCTTAGAGGTTTGATATTTGGTTAGTGTTATTATCTCTAGGTACTCTACCAAAGTTGTTCAAATTTTGCCTTTAGTGTCAAAATCAGCCCCGCCCCGGGGGTCATATTTCATATAAGGTTTTCCTTATATGTATATAGTAAAAACTTAAAAAATTTTCTTCTAGCAATTGACGAATGCTAAAGGTTAGATATTTTGCATGAAACATTGTGTAGTAAAACTGTTCCAAGATTGTTAAAATTATAGCCCTGGGGTCAAAATTGGCCCCGCCCCGGGGTTATTGATTTTCAATATGTACATATAGTAAAAAATCAAAAAAATCTTATTGTCTGAAGGTTCCAGGCTTAGAGCTTTAATATTTGTTATATGATATCATCTATAGGCCTCTAGTGTCAAAATTAGCCCCGCCCCATGGCCATACGTTTTCCTTATCTGCATATAGTAAAAACTAAAAAAAATCATCTTCCCTAAAATTGACAAAGGCCAGAGGTTAGATATATTGCATGAAACATTGTTCAAATTATAGCCCTGGGGTCAAAATTGGCCTCGCCCCCGGGGTCATTGTTTTTCACTATGTACATATAGTGAAAAATTAAAAAACTTCTTGTATGATGGTACAAGGGTTAGAGCTTTGATATTTGGTATATAATATCATCTATGGGTATCTACTAAAGTTGTTTAAATTATGTCCCCAGTCTAAAAATTGCCCAATTGAATTGACAAAGGCTAGAGGTTAAATATTTGGCATGAGACATTACGAAGTGAACCTCTGCCAAGATTGTTCAAATTATACACCTGGGGTTAAAATTGGCTCCGCCCGGGGGTCATCGATTCTCATTATGTACATATAGTAAAAAAAAATAAAAAATCTTTTTGTCTGAAGGTACAAAGGCAAAGAGCTTTGATGTTTGCTATATAATATCATCTATGGGTCCTCTACCATAGTTGTTCATATTTTTCCCCTGGTGTCAAAATTGGCCGTGCTCGAGGGCATTGATTCTCATTATGTACACATAGTAAAAAAAGAAACTAAAACAAATGTTTTCTGAATTTGAGAAAGCTACAGCTTAGATAATTATTTGACATGAAATATTGTTTGGTGGCTTGTATCAAGATTGTTTTGAATTAAACCCTTGGGTCAAAATTTTCCCTTGCCCAAGGGGACACTGACCTACTTTATTGTCCTTTGATGTACAGCAATGACATTTTGACCACGTGCATAGTTTAAGTTGTAAAACTGAACTTTGATATCAGGTGACCTAGATTTTGATGATGTGACCTACTTTCTTGTCCTTTGATGTACAGCTGTGAAATTTGAACCATGTGCACAGATTAAGATGTAAATTGAACTCTAATATCAGCTGACCTAGATTTTGACAAAGTTTCTTACTGTGTTGGCCTTTGATGCAGTCATGAAATTTAGGCCATGTGAAATATGACCTTCAGCACCAAATTCACTAGACTCAACTGCATTGATATATTCCTACTCTGATCTTCTATTTGAATAACAATAGATTTAACCCCTAATCTGATAATAAGAATAAGATAGGTCAGGGATCTGTGCATTTTGACAATCTTCAGTTGTATAGAAAGAAACAAACTGTTCCTACACTACTATTTACTGTAGTATTAATGCGGTGGCATAGCATTTTTCACAAAGGCAATCTTGTTCTCATCTGAAGGCGGCAACTTTAATATATCTATTCTGATTACATTTATTACATTCCATGTTAATATATTTGATGACATGTTTGTTCATTTTACATAACACCTTTCATGCAGCAAGCATAAAAGTCTTCACAGAAGTTAGTATGCAATCTATTACATATGAATGTATGTAATATTTTTCTTCTTAATCTAGCGTTTAATATTTAACTATTCTGGCAGCTCAAAAAGTCTATAGTAGGTACATGCTCCGTAGTTACATTCTAAATTCTAGTTTCCTGCAGTAACACTGAATCTATGACATGGGACAAAGCAAACGACACATGCACGTTAGCAACACCGGAATTTATTAATGATGGTGAACACTTTACTGTAAAGGACAATCAGAACATGACAAATGATATGGAAGGAAGGTGGCTTGGATACTACCGGAATATGCGGGGTTTTGAGTATTTTGGTAATACTATATTAAATTTAATATTCTCTTATTTTTTCAAATCTTATATGTTAACAATCTTTTGCGGTTACTTAAAATTTCACATTTTACGTCAATTTAAAAAACTGTAACATCAATTTGCTTGTTATAAAGCCAAAACTTATTTTTATCAAATGTGACCATTGCATTAAATATATTTTTGTAATATTTATAAGACAACGAAGTTGATCATTATAGTTTTTATTTAAACATGAGTTAACCGTTTCTTTAAATGGAATAGATATTTTTTGTAAACCCCCTCACAATTATATTCCATCATACAAATGAATTAAATTTCTATACCTTTAACATCACTTCAATTTACTTTACTTTTCATTGGTTTTTTACGTACGAGTATACCGTGTTATATGATTCAAGTTTTAGATTGACTTATATATGATATTAAATTAATTGAAATAATTTCAGGATGTATAAAAAATTCAGAATTCTTCAGAATTCCATCGAAACGTATTGTGAAGAATTCACCAGGAAATTGTTTTTCTGTATGTTCACGAAGTGGGACAGTTGTTGGACTAATGGGTCAACAGGTAAAAAATGTGAATTCTAAGACGTAGAAAGGTTGAAAATCTATAGTTCATTTTTAGGCTTTTCTATAATTAACAAATCTTATTCTAATATTTTGTCCAAATAGCTTATCATAAATCGAATAAAATTTATAACTCTGAACCTAGCATCTGTAAAATCAAAATGATATATTTGAAATATTAAATGTTTCCAATTAAATGGAGAAATGTAAAAGTCTAGTTTTTTAACTTTGTTTTTCACGCAAACCAATAATGTAACTTGTTTTAAAACAGAAGATATATAAAATATCAATATCTCATTTGATATTGTTTTATTTAAAATTACAGATATTTTGTGTTTTTACAGTGTTATTGTTTTAATTCAACCACATCAGAACATAACCTAGTTAGCAATGCATCATGTGCTGAACCATGCCCGCCCCCATCTGAAGGTTTAGCTTGTGGGGGACAAACATTTATTTCCTTATATGTGGTAAATAGGAAAGGTAAGGCAAATATGCAAAAGTGATGGGTGTACACAATTTATAATACATAATATTTTTAGTCAGCAAAACAACAAAATGTTTAAATGATATGTTTACGCCCCTAAATGTATTTCAACATATTATTTTCTTCACTTGGGTAAATAACATTCACACTGAAATATGCAACGGCATATTAATTTTTAAAAGGGTACTTTGAGGATTTTAGTCTGAGTAAACCTTTGCTACAATTAATAAATTATCTATTATGACAATCCAATGATTGAATTATAAAAAAGGAGATGTTCGTCATTTGGCTTGTCATTATTAATAAATAAATAAAATTAGTTATGATATAGTTTAAACACAAACTTAACTTATATTATAAGTGAAATTTGCTTTCTCAAGACAGTGCACAATTTTATATAGCAATGAATATCTTTTCAAATTCCGTAGTAAACTGTATTTCATGCCTCCAGCGAAACTGACAGCAATTATATAATAACTGTCATATATTTCCTTTGACATCGATTTGAAAATCTAATTTCAATAAATTTTAAAAGGAGCATGACACAACACAATCAGTTAAAAAGTCTACACAACAAATCATATAAGCCGTGCTCGCTCCTAGTTGTTAAAAAAAATTACATAAGTTAAAAATGTTTTTTAAGAGATAGTTCTTTATAGCTCATAACTTGTTGTCATTCGAACTTTATAAAATGCCTACAATTGATGTGGCTTAAATCTCGCAATAATTAAAGTAGAAGATTTAAAAAATCTCGCAATAATTATCAACAAGGCTGTCAGCGATAATTTTTTAGTCATTAAAGTGTTCAAACCTGTTTAAAATGTTTTTCATCATTACAGTTCTTAACATTCGTAATGGGTTTATCAATCAAAATGAAAATAAAAGTAACTGCGTCAGACAGGGAAACGACAAGATGCTTTTGTGGGATAAATGCACCAGTGCGTTACACAGTATATGCTATGATGGTAAATATTTGAAATCTTTAAAATAATTAGTAGTAAACTGAAACACCATTGTCATCGATTCATATTTAATCTGGACAGTAATAGCGCGTGGAAAAGAAGTTTGGTACAATATGTGCGCTATATACGCTTCTGTCCATTAATTTTGAATGTGCTATTTGGTGATTGACTGTATATTAAAGCTGTGTAAACCTTGTAAATTGCAGTATACATTTACCATATCAAAGCTTAAGAAGTTCATGACATTTCATCTGGAAAACGGGCAAATAATAACCATGTGTGACAACTTCATTGTGGGAACATGGAAACTGACCTATTAAACATCGTTTATTCTTATATTTCTTTCAACTGAAAAACTGGTACTGCACTTCATGCAAATGACGTTAAAGTTGTCTAGATTCCTTGAAACTAAATGTAATGTCTTGGATTATTTGTCTTTAAATGTAATTATTCTCTAACACACTCCTGACTGACTACAGAAATGAACAATGAAATAATGCACAAATTACAACAGGTATTAAATATGTCCCTTTATTATCCCTTTGATCATTCATTTCTTGTCATTTTATCTACCAATTTTGTAGTGGTTTAAAATCAATCAAAATTACACACGTCAATTATAGAAACAGCAGCTTACACTGTGCCTTTTCTAGTGGGAGGTCAGCAAAATTTTCCATGGTATTTGGCAAATAATTTATGTTTTGGCAGTGATGTTCGGCCACTTTTATATGAAAATGCCGTAAACTTGAACACAACGACTTTAGAATCTTGGACAGGAATGTGTCGCAGTTTGTCAATCTTCAAATACTCAGGTATGCTTATGTATCAATAAAGCGATTTATTAGTTGACATTTTCAAAAAAAGAGGAGAAGACACGCATAAATGGACACACTAACGTGTGGATGCATCGTTATTACACATTTTTATATATGATTTCTGTTTTGTTTCGAAAATGTCTTTCAAGGTCATAATATTCCTAAATGGCACATAAACACAACAATTGCAAGATTATAAAGACAGAAATACTCCAACACTTTTTTTTAAAAATAATGCACGATGAAAATTGTCATATACGTTTTGTATACTAACACGCTTCACACTATTTTCATTAAAAATAAACTAAACTATGTCAAAAAAATCACGTCTGTTCAGCATTTTTTCCTCAATTCTCTTTCTTATAATCATGTTAGGATGGAAATAGATATCATTTTTCGCCTTGTTGTATAATAATGAACGGTTTATCGTTCATTTGCTTTGCAATTAATCACTCAGACCTATCGTTCTAGGCTACTTTATTCCTGCGCATTTGAACTAGAAAAGTGCATTATACTACAACAATGCACCCGGAATTGAAAGTTATTTCCTAACTAGACCAACAACTGGCATTAAACTCAAGCGTTTAACGCCTTGCAAAACCGGTCTGTTTATACGAAAAGATCTGCAGAAATCCTATTATTTCTTTATCAATTCCCTGCCCTGCGTACTTCACTGTTAAATGCGTCTTTATGCTTCTGCAGATGTTAATGCACGAATCCGTGTATTTTTAAATATAAAACCGATTATTGTTAATAATTATTGTAATATTGTCCTCTGCTTTGTATTAAGTTAAATGCCATTTTAATCAAGTGTGTATATAAAATGTGCTTAATGTATCTTTTAGAACCTATTATGGGAAACATTCATTTAGAATACGGGTATTTGAAAAGATCTGATGTTTCTGATCGTTACGAACTTTATTTTACTGGGAACATGTTAGAACAAAAGAAATTGCTGTGCAAAAGCGTTATACAACAACAAATCGATGATGGTGCAAATTCAGGTACAACTCTATATTGTTAACAAAATATAGTTGTTTAAATACAAATTTGATAAGGAAATTGTATGAATAAGAAATGTAATTCGTATAAAAGGTAAACTATTTATGAGTTTTTGTCTTTCTCATAAAGGTAAATGGTAATAGACAACAAACATAAAAAGAACACAATAGATAATCATGTTCTTTTAAAATATACATTACCCTTTACAAAGAATAAAACAAAGACGTTAACTGTTTTCTTAAGAAACCCAATTGACCATTTGACTATAGAACAATCACCTTTACCAAAGCACTTATTTTGTGAAACTGAAGATAGGAGACAAGTAGGGCTCGAACCTATTAATAAAAGTTATAGAAAAGTGTAAAACTCCGTCAGCTGTACGTTACTTTAAAACCGGTACCGAGTTTATATTATTTCACGTGATTCCGTGGTGGATTTCGCTGTCTTTCTTTAGCTATCTTGTCTGTAGGTTCGCCCAGACTGTATCTATTACAACCGTGAATTATCGACAGGATAATCTTTAGTCCCTCAGTACTCAAAATGAAACTTCTGAACCAGAAATATAGAAACTGTAAGACTAACCATTGTAAGAGCTAAAAGGAAGAATATTTTTCGGCCGAAGGCCTTCTGATTTCACCTTGACTTCATCTTAAATTAACAGTAAAGAAATGAATATAGGCAGAATTTTCATTGTTCATTTTAACACTGATAGCCTATTCGATTGATACCTTAGAAGAGCGTCCGTTAAAGGTAGAGGTCTGTTCGATTGCGAGATGGCAAGAAATGTTGGAAAAAGATATAAGTCAGAATAAATATAGAAGCACAATATTTTCTAGATGTTCCTTATAGCTTTTCAATAAATTTATGACATTAAATAAGACAGGTCGCCTTTTTGATACTTTTGCGTTCGATTGGGTTTCTCTTCTAAACTATTTAAGTCATTATATTGTCTTTTCGAACCGGGCAAAAGTCGATTGAAACGAACTTTCGACTACTTTATAGTTGCAAAATTCTCCGTGGAATTAGTGTACAATATCTACCAAATCTTTGTTTTATTATAAATTCCTATTCAAATCAAATTTCATTTTGATTAAAACTAAATAATGTAATAAGTAATATTGTTTAAATCTAAGATGACAGTTAATGGGGAAAAACATTGCGGGTAAAAATGAACTGAAATAAAACTATTGAGAACGAATAAAATGATTAAAAATGGTTAGTAGTAGCTTATCCTATGCGTTAACAAGTTTGACTTAGGCCGATTATCTTTTTAAAGATACTTTTTTCTGCATTAGTCACGCAGCTCTGGTGCAGATGTTACAGGCATTAATAACGAACCAGAACAATCAAGACTACCATTACAAAAATAGGATCATACCGGACAGTGAGACAAGAGCCACATCGTAATTTGACAAACACAATTTACAAACATTACATTTGAATGGATGAAGAAGAGCTTTCATATTTAGAAAGGAGCAATTGTTGCACACATCCAGATACATTCAGTGACTTTATATAAATAGTTTGCTGTAGAAATTGTATCTGCTTTTCTAGCATTATATAATTATCTAAATAAATTATTTGCTTTACCAATATCATTCATATGTTTATTTTCAGACAAAGATGTAAGTTTGATTGTAGGTTCAATAGTTTCTGCTACCATGCTTGTTGTTGTCATAGTGGTCATTCTTTTCCTATGTAAGAGGTAAGATCATTTATCTTAAACTGTTACTTTTCATAAACCACACACTCATATTATTTGTAGGTTAAGTATAAGGTATCAATTTAAAAGTAGAAATCCGAACATACATAACTTTTCTGTTTCTGCAGCAAAAAGGGGCGGGCGTGCAGTGTGTGAGCGTGCCTTCTGTGTATGTGTTCGAAGAAGTGTACTACATGTCCGGTTCATAACCTTTGCAAGCATCATGGGCTTTTAAAACAAGAGCACCGCATAGGCGTGACAATATACACCCGAATGCAAATTTGTAATAAGTAAATCAAATTGAAAGTTATCAAAACTTTTGTATCATAGTTTGGAGACATTTCTGTTGAAAATGTGTCAGGGTTAAATCGTATACATATACATGCAGAGTGCGTTAACTGGAGTGCGGGTATTAGTTACCCGCACTCCAGAGCATGCCCATTGATTGGCTCATTTTTGCTGGGGTTTACATATTGTGACGGCAGTGAAAGTGAAATCGACAGAAATGTCATATTTAGATGCTCGTTCATTGGTTCAT